TTTATTCACCTTTCTAATGTTGCAAGTAGTTTAGGATTGTGAAGCCGGGGAGGAAAAAGTGAAATCATTTGTGTGTGTTTTTAGTAACCTTTTTGCACACGGTTCAGAATGTCCCATTGCTTTTCTTTCATATAGTAGCCGTGGCTAGAAGACATGCATGTTGGCTGGTGGTGGAGTTGCTCTGAGCTCTGGCAGGGAATTGTTCTCAGCTTAACTTCACAGGGAGAATGGTTGTTCTGTGTGCTTCCTGTGCTCCCAGACATGGAGGGTAAAGGGGTTACTAGGGATGCAATTGATGTTTTCAAAGGCAGAGAAAGGGTATTAAGTCCATGGGCCAGAGATTGCTATAAAATGATAAGCAGTCTAGAGAGGGACGGAGAGTTGTGGCATTATGATGATGGCTATTAGACAGGGGAGCTTGCTGCTTCTAATTGGTCCCTTAGTTATATTTCCAAACTTTCCTGGAATTCACTTTCCTTATCTGTGAACCAGCTAATAGCCATACCTGCCACCTGAAGTCTATAGGGCATAAGTCACTGGAAGAGCTTAGGCTAGTGCTGAGCTCTCGGTAAGAAGACCACAGAAGGTCATTATTGCTTAGGTCATGCCATCATTACTTATTGAGAATTAAAGAACTATAGAGAGCACACGCTGTGGCCACTTAGAGATGGTAGCTCTCCCAAAGACATGCCTTTCCCCAGCATCCCACAGCCTGTTTCCCTCGATAGCTCCAAATGCTTTCCTGTTTCCCAGTGTCCTTCTGAAGCTACATGAGACCACACACAGACCCACGCTTCCCCTCTGGGCTTTTAGACTTTGCAGGTGGCTTCTTCAGACAGCTGCCTCCGCCTGAGCAGCTGCTAGATCTGTCCTGTCCTCTCTGCTCTTTCCAATGCTTCAGTCATGAGGACGCCTATCTGGCCACCTCCACATCTGTCTCTGTCTCTCATAGAGGCGTCAATTGCCACCCACACTCCATAATGAGCCTGTGTCACTTGGTCCCACCCCATAGGGCTCTTCTGGTCCTATTATCTGAGTTTGGAGATGACAAACACTCATATAGCCAGCCCAAGGGGACTGAATTTTTGCTCCCTGGAGGCCTGTTAGCCTCTCCAGGACATGAAGAGACCATGAGTGTTCCATCTTCACACAGTGCCTAATGGTTTTTCCCTGACTATAATATTCATGCACTTTTACTATTGAAGAGTTGGAAAAAACAGAGAGGCAGTTAGAGGAAACTGAAGCTACCTACAAAGAGGCCACTTCTGTTACCATGTCGCTGCCCACATTTTGAACGTTCTTCTGTGAAGATGCATATCCATTTTCTGTGTGACCACATGGCATACATAGTACTCCAGACTGGAATTATTCTACCTTTCATTTGATAATATTTTTCCCACCGTAATTTATTTACAGTATCACTTCCTGTGTTAGCACAAGGGATGAGTACACAGCGACAAAAGGAAGGTAAATAAAATCACATCTAAAGTTGCAAGTTCGGAATTATACACTTTTAGTGTAGATCTTTTGTTATTACCGTCTTTCAATTTTAGATTTTTGTTTTGACTAGTGCACCTGTGCACGCGTGCGCGTGCATGTGCGCATGCGCACGCATGTGCAGTACTCAAGAGCCAAGAAAGAAGGCTTAAGATCTTTGCAGCTGGAATGATTTACAGGTAGTTGTAAGCCACCGAAGTATTTGGTTCCCTAGAAGAGCAGCAAGCAGTGTTAACCACTAAGCCATCCCTCCAGCTCTTTAATACCTTAAAAATTTTAATTTCCTCATTTTTTATTGGAGCCACAAATTTTGAGAAGTTCTCCTCTTTCTTACCATATTGAAACAATATATGCAACGACCCATGCTCATGTTGGGATATGAGTGCAAAGCTGACTGGGTTGTCATTTTGAGAGTGACTTAATTGGGGAATGTGTTCTCTATTACTGGGTTAGAAAGAATGGACTCCTGTAAGGATTATTATGCCTACTGGAGTCAAACATCTAATAGCATTATGAACATATTTATACATGAATTTTTTTATTATTTTTATGTTTTTATTTTTTTGTTTTTATGTATTTATTATTATTTATTTTTTATACATGAATTTATTCTAGGAATAGGTAGACTATTATGTGTTGAAGGCCATTCATTTAGTAACACATTTTAGGTTTGTTCATTTTTATTTTATGTGTATGAATGTTGCGTACATCTATGTATGTGTACCATGTGTGCGCATGGTGCTTGTGGAGGTCAGAAAGAAGTCATGGGATCCCCTGGAACTGGAATTACATATGGCCATGGGCCACCATGTGGGTGTTCCATGCTGGGAACTGGACCTAGGTCCTCTGCAAGAATACCTAGTATATGTACCTTTAACCACTGAGCTATCTCTCCAGCTCCTCCTTAAGTAACTTATAAGAATAGACATAGGAAGTCAAGATCTTCTCCCTATCTCAGAAAACATTTACTGAAAGAAAGAGAAGCATGAGATTCTTGATAGCTCATAGTAAATAGGTTTCTAGGAGTCGTGGCATAAATGTCACAGTTGTCTAAACTCCTACAAAGAGGCGAGCCATAGTGACTTTTGAAGATCAGGCAAAACTGACTGCATGGAAAATAATATGGTCAGGCGTCAGGGAGTAGCTGAGCACTCTCTTGTTCTCTACACAGTAGTAAATCTGATCTTCTTGTTTCTATGCCTGCAGATTATAAGTGCAGATTAAGATGGTGCCGAGGACAAAGGCACAAAGTAAAGCCAAAGCAGTTTCAAGTGCAGAACTGTTGGGAAGCATTTCAGGGCATAAAAACAGCACCTCAAACTTCAGCAGGCCCCTACTGTTGTTCTGCATCACAGCAAGATGTAAGACAGGTGCTTCCAACCAGGAACTTGATTTAGCAATGTTAAGTTACGTTGCATTTGTTTTGCATGATTTAGATGGCATTCGGAGCATTTTGGAAGGATTTCAATATGAATAGGACACTTTTCCCTTTTTTACCTATTCGTTGAGAACTTCATGCAGATATACAATGTGTTTCCTTCATATTCACACACACCCCCAAGTTACACCTCGGGATCCCTCTTCCAACTTCATATCCACTTTTTTTTTCTTTTTTCTGAGTCTAATTAGTGCTGTCCTTGTCTACATGGGTGGAGCCATCAGTTAGGACATGGTCTACCTACCAGGGGCCATATCTGTCAAGAACATTGACTCTCTCCACTAGCAGCCACCAGCTGCCAGTGGCTCCTTAGCTAGAGGTAGATGTGATGTTTCCTGAGCCTTGTGGGAGGCAGTGTGACCCAGGTGTCCCATTTATGGCTGATCACTTCACAGACATTTATTCTCTGCGCTGGAGCAGTTGTGAGTCTCTGTTAACTGTTGTCTCCTTCACAGAGATGCACTTCTGATGGGGGCTGAGAGTTACCCTCAGCTAGGGGTAAGAGGTACATATTTAAACAGCAGCTTGATAGTATGTCTATTTTGCAAAATAAAAAGTAGGTTCTCTTCCAGAGCCCACCAGCTCCCCTAGTACGAAAGTTCATGGTACTATTGTTTGTGGGTTTTGTGTGTGTATGTGTGTGTGTGTGTGTGTGTGTGTGTGTGTGTGTGTGAATCAGCCGTTAACTTTCCTCCAAAACACCAGGCATGACAAAGGACTTGGTCTCCAGGGTTCCCTTATGGCATGGTCTTACTGAAATATTTCTTTGTGACTCTCAATCTCTAGCTAATATGCTCTGACTTCCTCTATATTCTAGAGAGGAGAATAAAGCATTTCTGCTTCCCAGGATGACTTTATCCCAATGTCTTCTCTGACGTTTCCAGGAACATCTAAGGGCATTATTAGTGGATATTGGCATTAACAGCTTTCTCATTCTTCTGCCCAGCACAAGGTGTTCAAGTTTCCCTCGCTGACAACCAGGGGCTGTATTTGGTTCCTGATCACCTCACCCAAGACTCTCGGGCAAAAGATTTGAACTGGGTGGTTTTCACATGTAAATAAAACTTCCTTCTATTGTTGTTGCCATCCAACAGCATAGACATAAGCTAGCACTGAGTCATTATAGACTGCCCGGAATGGATATTCTGTCCACTGTGTGTTCAGACTGTGCCACCATGTTGAGCTGAGTGGACCATTACTGATCTCAGAGAACTTTTTTTAGAATGCAACTCCATCACAGGTCAAGCAGTCAAATGCCAGGGATTTTTTTTTTCTCAAAGACCAGATAATGCCTGTTTTTATGACCATTAATAACATTTTCTTTATATAAACTGAGATAGGAGTAATAAAAAATAAATTCTGCTTCACGGTCTAATGTGATTGCCACCAGAGTTCAGGAACAGACTTTCTCACTGTGCCTGTGGTGTTGCACAGTGGAAGGGTGACCATGCAGAGGCCCTCTCCCCAACCTTCATTCCTCTTTTATGGAGAACCTTTAGTTCAGCCAGAACCCTAAGCTATTCCAGGGAGGGAGAGCTTTTGCTCTCCCATTTAAAAAGCTTTGATTGTGCCTCTGGTAGTTAATGTGCCAAATGGTCTTCAGGGCGTTTCATACGCGTGTTCTGTGGCTAATTAGAGTGCCCAGGCCTACTGCTTCGTACCCCTATGCTCTCCATGTGTTTAAAAGCTCAGTTCAAACACCAGACCCATGGACCTCTGGAAAAGCATGGCAAAGCTCTACTCTGATTTAGGCGTCTGTTGCAAACAGGTTTTCCAAAGGATATCCTGTCGGAGATAAACCATTTCATTAGGCCAGGTTCCATTTCCAAACCAGGAAGCCCAGAGCCTGCTGTGAAGGAAAACCCAGATAATGCTGTTTGCGGCTGTAAGCAGAGCACTTGTAAATGTTATAGTCAGCATCTTTTCTACAGGTTCCATCCAGATTGTGTCCACTGACAGGTTAATGATGTGTTTTAAAGCTCTGTTTATGGAGAGCGGTAGGGCAGCTGTGACACAAGCCCGTTACATATTGCAATGACCGCTCCCCCTTCCGTGTCTCCTGCAGTTGATAACGCCTCATGCCATCCGTGTGCAGACGCCTCCTCGGCACATCCCTGGTGTGGTCGAAGTCACATTGTCCTACAAGTCCAAGCAGTTCTGCAAAGGGACACCAGGCAGATTCATCTATACAGGTAAGCATGACTGCACATGGTAGCCATGGGGCTGGCTTGGTCTCATCAGATGCTTTACTTGATCTTGTGTATGTTTTTGTGTGCAAACATACATATATGCATTCTCCATTTCAACAGACACAAGACCAAAGAAATTACTTTATTACTATTACTAAAATCTTAAGGACTTATGGAGATGCAATGGTTTTGAATGTTGAAGTAACTGGTTGGCTACTTAGAGAAATAGCATGATAAGTTAGAGAGGGCAGGGCAGTACTAGACAGGACCAAGGTCTCTCTAGCAGCTTGGCCAGCTTTCTGGAATTTGCTCTATGGATCAGGGTTGAACATTAATGAACGGTCCTGCTCTCTTCTAGCCAGTCCCAGCCTTTGAATTAAACACATTTGGTAGTCTTCACGGTTCATTCTGGGTCGGTGTTTTCTTTCCTAGTAAGCTGTATTTTGTCTGCCCCCCTCTGCAACAGTGTTGGCACGTGGACCTGCCTTGTGGTGAGCAGCTAACATTACAGGGTGCATCTGAAACCCCTCCTTCCAGGCACAGCCAACCAGGCAGGATCTGGACTGGCAGGATACTGAACAAACACCCTGGGATCTTTTACCCTTCAGCATCTGCTATAGAAGGGATGGGCAGACTCTTTGTTTCTTACAGGCTCAAAGGTGGGGTGTAGACCAATGTTAGGGACCACATATGGCATGGGAAATTTTTTTTTTCCATTTATCATTGAAAGTTCACTAGGCCTCTGCATGTAGATGGAAAGTTGTTTTTACACAAAGGGGTCTGGAGCACAGCAGAGCTGAATTTGTTAGCACATCCTAATTAAACCACATAATTCAATGGGCAAATTTCTTTTCTGCTCTAACATTCTACCCCAGAGCATCTTTCCCTATAATTTTATACTATGAACCTAGCCAAGCATGCTTAATAATCACCCAGTATGTTTCTCTCTCACAATGACAACAACCTACCCACAAACACAAACAAACAAACAAACAACAACCAAAAAAACCCAAATTAATATATCTTGACCCTCGGAAATGCCTCCCAGCCCTTTAAACAAAATACAGAGTTGGTGCCTGCCTGCCGATTAGTTTTAGTTAATTGAAAATTATAGGATTGACCCAAGAGGAAAATTTTGTTTGCACTCCAATCACTTTTACAAATTAAGGAAAATTACCACAATTTTGTTTAGCTCAGGTTTCACACTGAGTTCATGAAATTAGCTCAGCCATCCCAACAAAGTCAGCACTTTGTTAGTGAGTGCTTGGAAAAAAAGTCTATCTGGAGTTTTGTGGTGTATACAAACGAAGCATAGAGAAAGCTATGATGCTTTATAGAAGTGGGCCAAGTGTTTTTAATTAGGCTCATTGGTTCGGCATAAGTTTTGAAGAACAATCAAAATAGCGGATTAACTGTTTCTTTTAAATCTAGGGTTTCTTGCCATTCATTTTTCCCATGAGAACTTCCACATAGCACTGTAATTTTTCTTTTTCTTTTCTTTCTTTCTACTTTTTTTTACAAGCCTCATTATGGGCTTGCAGGAAAAGGACCAATTGAAATTTCTGATAGTATAACATTCCCCACCGTCATTCCCAGGGATGGGAGTTTTTCAGTGTTCCTTGCTGGACTCGCTGTTCTGGAACACAGTACAAAACCACAGAGGCCAAATGTTTTCTCTGAGGAGTTTGGACTCTGTTTTTGGCTGAAAACATTTAGGCCTCGCTGGTTCCTTATTTACTCTGCTATTAAGAACAAGAAAAAGAAAAGGAGGAGAGAAGATGAAGAAAATGGTTGTGGTGTGGGCGGCACCAGAAGCAGTCAGCCATGGTTTCCGCTTTGGTGACAATGTCCTTGCTCATTAATGGTTCCATTTTGTGGTCAGGTCTCATTTAGAAGAAATTATTTTTAATCAGTGTTCAACAAAATATACCCTAGAGCCACCTGGTCATAATTTTTTTTTAATCACTACCATTACATTACTTAAATTTGCAAATGAAACCAAACACCCCCCCCTTCTAAAAAACAAAACAAACCCAAACAAAAACAACAAAAACAAACAAACAAAAGTCCCCAGGGACAGACTGACCCAACATTATTTAAGATTTTTAAACCATCCAAAAATTTCCATCGCAAGATGTGATTCCCAAGAAATCTCATCTTGAGAAAGCTCTATCACACGGGAATCAAGATCAAAGATAAAGACAGCAGATCTGCTAGCTAAGGGAAGCAATTATGGAGGAAAGTGTGCTGATACGCTCATGTGTGGGAATTTAAATAAGAGACAAAAGCATTCATACCTTCAACTGTGGACAACTGACAAGAAAATGCCATTTGAAATGTAATCTAGGGAGGAATCTAACCTCTTCTTGTGTTAGAAAGATTAAAAAAAGAGAAAGAAATCAGGACAAAGGCCTCTTGGCTATTAATAGTTACAGTGACATCGAGTGTGTTTAACTAGGGAACTTGTGAGCCTCCTGGTCACTGGTATGTAGCTCTTCCTTGTGGTGGGTCCTCAGTTATGGCTGGGCTCCCAGCTACTGGGGCTTATTCAGTTTACCTCTCTGCTTGTCACTGTTTACCAGTGAAGGTGTAGAAATGGGGTCTCAGTGCTTTTCTGTCCTTTGTATGCAAACAAACTGTTCAGGCTATTGTTAATGTGCAGGCCCCTCTTCTGCCCTTTGCGGAAGTTCACACTTCATCTTCTTCTGCCCATACCACTTCAAGATGTGAGGCCTGCCTTTTCTGGATTGTAAACTAATCTTTCTCAGTGGAAAGTCAATGGAAAAATAGGAACTATCACAGAACTGAAAACGCTGCACCCAAGTCAAGGCACTCCCACTGTTCTCAGAGTGCTCAAGAGAGAGTAGACTAGGAATGTAGAAGGCTCTAAAAACTGACTTTAAGCAAAACCAGGGAACAGAACCATAAAGGGACACCCTGGTCTAGTTGATGCAAATAAAGGCAGCCTTTTAGAGGAAACAGTCTGACTATACACAGACTGAAGGCTGATCTCAGTCTGTAAGGATGCTGGCTGCAGCTGTCCATGACTGGTCCTTAGACTTGAACATTCGTGCTCACCAGATAGATGATGTTCTTGCGTTTGACCAATCACAGTCATGGAGAAGAGTGAGTCCTGACTTAAATAGAACACAGAAACCCCAACAACACTAGCCACATCAACCTTTACTGTGTTTACTCATTCTTTTGCAAATGTGGTGACAGGGATGACCTTACATTTTAAGTGTTCGTTGTTTTTAGAGTCCTATGGTCTTGTATCTGGTCATTTAGCACAGGTAGACCAGATGTAAGATACCAGGACTCAGCGGTTTTCACTGACCATGTACGGTCTCCCTAATGCTTTCATGATTTGAACCCCTTGTTTTTGTTTGTTTGTTTGTTTGTTTGTTTTACAGTCATTTAGTCTTTAAAACAGCTCTTTCTTTTAGGAGCATGATTATTCATTCCTGCTAAGCCTTCAGTGAACTTGGTTGCTAATAAAAGTTTCTTAGGTGCTATTTAGATGTTTCTTTAAAATTCTTAAAAGTCGGTTTTCTAATAACAACTGACCACATCTAAAGTTAGCACTTTACTTTCATTCTAGTAACTTCTTCATGGGAAAGGTCTCTGTGTCCAGAAAAGATAAAATAATTAAGTAAATAAAAATTAAAAAAGGACCACAGTATAATGTTTCACCAACTCAGGGCTGCACTCACAAAGTTGGGTAGAATCCTGACAAGTGATCAACTGACATCTCAGCTGATTGGCTGGTTAGGCAACCTATCAGAACCTTTCTAAAAACTACTTTCCCATTTTAACCATTTTCACACAACTCATGGTTCCTGGAAGACCACATCCAAGTAGTGTATTAATTGATGAATGAAACTTCTTCCTGAAATAACTTCCTGTTTGTATTTCTCATTCCTGGGTGACACAGAATATACTGCCCACAGGACGGGCCATGCAGGCAAATGTGTTCTGCAGCTCTTGATGACTCTTAGTTTCCATTTTCCCCCTCCTGATAATGTTTGTTTTAACCCTCCTCTCTCTCTCCCCCAGATTTTCCCCTTCTTCTTTCCTCTCCATCAGTTTCTTTTTCATTTCCAGTAATATAGTGCAGTATAGGGATGGAGTGCTTCCATTTAAGGTAATGGCAGAGACTGAACTCTCAGCTTTGCCATTTACTCCAGAGAACATTCCTGAACTCTCTATATGATGACTCTGAGGCCACAGTCACCTAATCTTTACAAGAAGAAAATTATAACTTGCCAGGAATGAGTTTAGAATCAGAGAACCACACAGCACCTTTAAGGAGGCCAGATTCTAGCGTTGGCATTAATTAAAGGTGGCCATTATCTTTAGTCATTGATTCTTTTTAAGAATTGCTATTTCCTGTGTGTGAGGGCTTTGTCTCCGTGTGCATAAGTGCACTGTGTGCCTGCCTAGTGCTCATGGAGTTCAGGCAAGGACATCTGATCTTCTGTACCTGGAGTTGGAGAAAGTTGCATGCTGTCACATGGGTGCTTAGAGCTGAATCTGAGCTCTCTGTAAGAACACAAAGTCTCTGAACTGCTGAGCAGTTGCTGAAGCCTCACCTGTTCATCTTTTTCTACCTTTTTCTGGAACATATATTTCACATCTTGTTTACCGTCTTCCTCATCTTCCTAGAAGTCTATGATGCGCCTTTAAGGGTTTTTAGTAACAGAGCCACAGGCACCAGTCCATCGAGGCAGCAACATATGAATAGTGAGGGTAACAACAAACAGATTTATAAATAATTATTCCATTTTCTGTTGTCAACAACAAAGTAAAATCTAGATTGAGTGCTCATGAAAGAAGGAAGAAAAAAAAACAGCGTCATTTAAATCACACTTTAGGAGGTTGAAAGACTAAGAACAAATGGTCCCATCTGTTTGGCCTCGAGGAAGGCTCTCGTGGGCTGCTTCACATCATGGTGGATGGCATCATGGAGGAGGTATATAGGGGAGTGATCACATGATGATACA